TTGATTGCCATGTGCTTTTAGACAAAACTGTGAGTGTTAGTAGCATAAAATCTACCTTTATTTAAAGGTTTAAACGACTGTCAGAGCAAAAAAAACCTCAGTTATGTCAGTCTGAAGCATTTTTTTGTACAATTACATAACCGTACAATAGCAGAGACCTTCAGTAACCACCATCTTATGAGAAATGTAGACAGAGGCTCCACTATTTGTTTTTGTTTTTTAACAGATAGTTTGGTTTCTTCGAGGTGGGGTAAACTGTCATGGATTCTGTTTGTGGTTGAATCATGAGAACAAACTGTACGAGCTTTCAAGCATCCCAACATTTTTTTTGGTATGTCAGTTTCAATSCACTCCCAAGAATTAAAGTATTTTCATCAAAGACAGCATAGGCTTTAGTGTGGGATCCTCTGGGTTGTCTGAGGCCGGTTGACATCCAGTTTGACGAGAAGCTTAAAAATGTCGAGGCTTGGTATTCAAGCTGAGCTCATCTTATGTCGAGAGGTGACAAATACAGCCAGTTTGGTCGAACCAGAAAATAATTTTGACATGATCTCGCAAGAAATTTTGAGACCTTACAGCAGTGGTTCCCAACCCTGGTCCTCAAGTACCCCTATCCAGCATGTTTTACTTGTTTCCCTGCTGTTCAGCAGGTCTTCAGAAGATTGTTAATCACCCATTCATTCAAACCAGGTRTGTCAAATCAGGGAAACATCTAAACATGCAGGAAAGGAGTGCTTGAGGACTTGGGTTGAGAATCACTGCTTTAATACATGTTATCTGATTTATTTACAAATAAATGGCAAATAATTAATGGCTTCCAGAGGTAATACTAAAAAAAACATAAAACTGAGTCAATATTATATTTTGAAAATGTCTCATCAAGCTCAGAGAAGCTCTTGAGGTGTTGGTCAACATTTAAAGCAGTGATTTTTAGATGTTTCCCTGATTTGRCACACCTGGTTTGAATGAATGAGTGATTAACAATCTTGTGAAGACCTGCTAAATAGCAGGGAAACAAGTAAAACATGCTGGATAGGAGTACTTCAGGACCAGGGTTGAGAACCACTGGCTTCCAAGATCTGATGAGGTGTTAGGAATAACCAACAACACATATTACTTTGCACTCTCATTGGCTTGTACCTGTATAAGTTTAAGTCCCACCCTCTCTAAGTAATCAAAGTATTGTTCTTGCTTAAAATTAAAAAAAACATTTTTTGACCCCTGATATTTCACATAGTTCTTGCCTTGCTGATGAATGTAAAAATGTTCATTTTTCCRACTTGTTTAGCTGTAATACTTAAAAGAAAGATCATGAAAAACTATGATTGTGTGATGGAAAAAATGCAGGAAGCCTCATTGTGAGAGCACAGACACTGGTTCCAAACATGCAGCATGGGAGGGTCCAAAAACTGGGAGTCAGATCTCAAACAGWGAGATGGCAATAACCTGGATTCTTCAACTAAAAGTCCACAGCTTGGCTCAGGAGCCATCCAGGAGCTGTTCCCCAATATGGGCCAGACTGGAGTTGTAATATGGAGAAGCATAAGTGAATCCATGCAAATTGTTTTGTGAGTTGGTGTTTTAAGTTTAGCTTTTGTTTTTTGTTGTTTTTTGTGTGTTGTTTTGATTTTGTTGTGCTTTACTTTCATTCTGAACATATTCTGGGGATAAAATAGAGCAGTTATAAGATTTATTCTTCTTCTGCTGCCTTTCATTTTATTTGATTTTATTTTTGATTGCATGTTTTTTGTTCTTTGTTGTGTCTATAATTATTACAAATGAAATGAATAAATTTTTACATACATAAATAAAAATAAAATAAAATAAAATAAATAAAATAAAAAGTTACCCACATGCCGAATGTGGCCTGCGGACCAACAATTGAATAGCCCAGTGTTGACACTTGTCCTAGTAATTTTCATTTATGTTGGGGGAATGAATCAGAGATCTAACCACATAAAACTTTACCTCACTGTTAAAGACATTGTTTGTGTTTTCTAAAACTAATTAGYCATGGCAATCATCTTTTCGGTCAATCTAAAGATTGATCATTTGTAAATGTACATCCAGTGACTGCTTTCTGAAATCCATTGGTTCATAAAATATTTACCTCACAATGAGCAAGAGCACACAGGGACACAGGCAAACRTAATTATCTACCTCAATTGGAAACACATCACAGTCACCTACAACTTGCATTTCCCCTGACTATGATGAAAAACTTGTGCAGTTGTGATATTTTRCTGGACAGACGCTTTTAAACAGCACATCCTGCCCTGGTGAGCTTTGAGTAAACAGATACACGGAAAAAGGAGCGGTGGCATTCTGCTCCATGGAGGAAACCGAAACTTCAGAGTGGGTTGAATTCATACAGGCAGGCTGAGAGGAGGAAGGACCGGTTTCCTGACTCATGTGAGCTGCATTCCTGCACTGCTTTGTGAAAGTCCCAACTTATATTCCAGGCACTTGAATAAAAGCTGCGTCATCGTGTCGAAGTGACAATGTGTTACAGCTGTTTTAAATTATGCTGGGTGGATGGGTTGGTGCGTTTTATTTTTGTTTATCTCACTGCTCAGTGCGTCAGACACAGACGAGCTAAGATTCTATGTAACCAAACTATATGATTTTTTTAAATCTCATTTTAATCTAAGATCACTTCATGATGACGTATTTTTAAGTAAATTCACTTCATCTGTTTGTTTTTGTTTTTTAGTTTAAGCAAGCCTTTTTCTACATTTAGCTATTTAGTGTTTTGCTACTTTTAGCTTCTGTCAAGTGTTTTTCTTTTATTTCAAGATTATAGCTAGTCTTTTGCTACTTTTAGTTTCTATTTGGTGTTTTGTTACTTTTAACTTTAAGCTAATTTTAGCTTGTTACTTTACATTGCCACAGCCTTCCATTAGTCTTTTGTTATTTTTAGCTTTTGGTTAGCATTTTGATGAAGGCCCTGTCACACTAGACAACTTGTGCCAACTTATGAATCATTTTTATGTCTAAATTGCTAATAAAAGTTATATATTTGATCAGTTTGTTAGAATTACAGTATGCATACTCCTTGAAGAAACTTCCAGTTGATTCTTTCAATTCCATCTTCAACATCTTTAAAGTTTTCATAAGTTGGTATAAGTTTCCTGACTCATGTGAGCTGCATTCCTGCACTGCTTTGTGAAAGTCCCAACTTATATTCCAGGCACTTGAGATTGATCTTAAAAATATTTTATAAGATTTCATAAGATTTCACAACTCAACTTTAGCATTGTTAGCAAATTTCAGCAGTCATTCAGCATCCACTGCATTTTCACAAAACACATTTTCTCTAGGTAACTGTGTACTGCAGAAATGACACTTGATAATCTGAAATATCACTTTAAATCAAATAAATATAGTTTGACTTCATGTTACATAGAATACTTTAATCTTATTGTGAGTGTCTCAGGACAGCAGTCTGACGAAGTCCTCTTTAGATCACATCATCTTTGTCCTCAGACAAAAACGGCGTCCACAGCTGGCAAACAAATGTCTCCCTTGTCTTTTTATTTTTTGAAGGGAAATTTTTGCGCATTCCAGTCTCCTTACCAAAGTGTGGAACAGCAACTTCAACAAGAAAGCAACTGAGGATTCCAGAGGAGCATAAGTCGTCGTCGGCTCCTTCACTCACTTTTGTGGTGGTTAAATCCGACTCCTACTCTACTCCAAACCGCAGGAATGTTGTGTTTGTTTGGAAAAAAAAGGTTCAATAAAACCCTGGAAAACAATTTAAAATGCTTAAGGAATCTTGGTCGTTCAGATGTTGGTGCTGAACGTTTTGGGTTCAGTCTGGAGAATTCATATGAGTCCCATAGGAGGAATATGAGGAGGAGGCACTGCTTAGCGGGTGTGCTGTCACATGTCTGACCCGGCTTTTAATCTGTTCTGTCTGAGCCTGGAAAAGGCAAGAACTTCAGCTCTCAATACAATTTATTTTGGGAAAAATTTACTCTTGAGACCTTCTAAATTTAGTGCAAAAGACTAAACCAGTCCAAATGGTTGTCTTAAATATKTCAGGACTGATAAAAGTACCACTCCGAATTATACCACCTTAAATAAAAAACATTTATTTAACTTATGAAACATTATGATAAAATTAGCTTAAAGTTGAAAGTAACAAAACACCTACAACAGCTTTCTAAATGTAGTATACATTCAGTTAAATGTGTGGTTATTCTGTTATTTGACTCCTGGACTGCTCAGCGATCCAAACTAGAAGATCATACAGGTCAGAACAAAACAGGACAGGACTTCTCTCTGACATCTGGTGTGAAAATTATAAATTATTATTATTATTATTGTTGTTGTTGTTGTTGTTGTTTCTTATTTATTTAGCTAAATTAAAGCCTGAATACTGAGTGTTTAATGATTTTGCTGAAATATTCTGAAGAAGCTATGAGCTAAAAAGAGCAAAACACTAACTAGAGCCTAAAAGTATCTAAAAGAAGCTAAATACAGCTAAAATTAGCTACAAGTAAGACAACATAAAAGCTGAAAGTCACAAAAGGTTAACTAAAAGTAGCAAAAAAAAAAGGTTGATATATGTAGCAAATGGATAGCAATAACTAAATCTACTATAAACAAAATAAGCAAAAGACTGACTAAAACCCAAACAATAGCCAAAGGGCTGAATATATCAAAAGGCTAGTAATGCTAGCAGAGCATCAGCTAAACTATGGCAAAAAGTATGATTTGAAAGACACTGTAGAGACAATGAAGAGACCATAAAGAGGGGAAATATTTAAGAGGATTAAAACAAACAAAGAGTGCTGCATTTACACATACTGTGAGTATCATTTAATGCAATTTGTTTCTAACTTTTTCAAACATAATAATAATTTCATCTATCCTGCTGTAAAAAGTTCCTAATACTTCACACGTAATATACCCCCTGCACCTAATAGGTCCGGGGAGGAAACGCCTTCCATGGGCGGGTTTAACATCATTGGTTAGCCCTCTTACATCCCGCCCTAACCTGACAGAAATCAGCTCCTTTATTGGTCGAATTTGTCGATCGTCATCACTGAGGTCAGCGACCATTCTTCTATCTCATATCTGATTGGACGGATAAGTGTTCCGACGTCACGTCTCTGCCAGCTGATCGGAGTGAGAAGCCGGTTTGAAGAGCGGAGTTGGACAGAGGAGAGAGACCGGGGAGGAACCTCGAGTGGCGGAGAGCGCACACACACGGGGTGGGACCGGACAAATGGATGCACACACACACACACTGACTGGACCGCTTTGTACCGTTTTTCCTGAGCGTTGAATGTTAACACCGGAGCGGCTCGATGGGCTTTATGCCTCCTCCAGTTCGGGGTTTAAACTCCGCCGCGTCTCGTCGAAACCTCTGGAAGAAAGTGACAGAAAGCGAGAGAGAGAGAGAGAACGATTGAGAGTTAAGGTGTGGCTGAGGATTTTTTTTTCTGTTCCTATATTATATATATATATATATTTTTTTTTTTTTTGTATGGTTCCGGGACTGAAAATGTTCCAGAACCTATCTCTGTAGAGAGCGGGCAGCTATATAAGCTTTTAAAACCCTTTCAAAAACCGGATAATATTTGGGCTGAACCCAGGCCTAACAAATCTTTATCAAACCTCATCGCTGTGATTAACCGGACTGTTGCGCACTTAATACGTCTGAATCTACACACAKTTACGCGTCGTTCCGAGTTCATAAAGTGAGTATAATATTACGAACGTGGCAACTTTACGGCAGCCAGCTTTTGACTGAACGCTACGGTCCAGCTGGGCGTGGGGAGGGAGTCTGAAACAGCCCGAAGGAAGTCCTAAACTCTGGGTCTTTACGGCGGCACAAAATGCGCACATTTGTCCGGCAACACCTGAGCGAGCCTACGTGGAGCCTCTGGACCGACCGGAACCGAAGTAAGTGACATTTTAACAACTTTTTACTGATATTTAGAGGTCTCACTGGGAGGTTAAGTTACCATTTTTTATCAGAGTTTAAGTGAAATATTCGATTATGAATAGTTTTTTTTTTATTTTGTGTAACCAGCGTGAAGCGGGTGTGTCCTTTTTTAATTAGTCCGCCTGCTGAATGGAAGATATAAAGTTGATTTATATTACAGTTGTCAATAATTAAATTTGAAAAGCAGGAAGTCGTTAGGTACTAGTTATTCGAATTCGTTATTTGTTCGTTTAACTCGATGATGATTGAGGGCACGGCCAGTCTGACCCTGCTGTTGTCTAATGGGCTTTATTTAATTCGTGATACAGTGCATTCCTCAAGGCCCCACCCTTTGCAGCGCAACATGGATGTGAAGAGTTGCCTCCTCCTCTTTTCTCTCTGGGCCCTCTGCGTCTTTCATTTCCCCTTTTTTCAAGCTTGTCTTATATGCTGTCTCCTCCCACCACTCCTCCTCTCCTCCTCAGTATCTCCAGGTGCAGATCTTGTCTTCACCCAGATTTGGCACAATCAGGATCTTCCTCCCAGAAATCTCCACTGGTTTGATTCTGCGTAATGATCTTTCAAGGTAAGGCAAGGTTTAGGTTAATAAATATGTTCCTTGCTTTTCATGCTTTGCAGTTTGTTTGTATTTTCCAAATGTAACAATTTTATTTGTTTTTGTTTTGACACGTCTCAAAGTTAACTGAGCGTCAACCTGTTGCAAGTTTTGAAAACAAGTCGACTTTCATTTTAGCACCAAATCTAGAGCTGGGAAAATCTATACCTGCATATCTGCATCTATTAAGTATTTCACCTTATGACTCTTTTTTTGGGGGGGAGTGTGACCCCAACTATCCCTAATAATCAAAGGCATAATGTATTTTTAAATCAATTCATCAATATATTTTTCATATATTTTCTTGCAATTGATATGAAAATGATTTCCTAGCAATCATTTCTGACCCAGACTTTGAGGGATGCTGATGTAAACGGGGGGCTCGGATCTTTCAGGACACCTCACCTTATTCATAACTGCTGCACTAAATCAAGGGTGTCCCCTTTTCTGTATGTTGTGCTTGTTTTCCTGCTCCGACACACCTGATTCAGTGACTTAATTGCCTCCTCAAGTTCTGCAGAAGCCTGTTAATCATCTTTTCATTCAAATCAGATGTGTTGGAGCAGAATAATCAYGAAAACACATAGGATGGTGGCCCTCGAGGACCTGGATTGAGGACCACTGCCATAAAGGATCCATTTGACGATCCCGGTTAAATCTGTACGTCTCTTAGAAAGATGCACGTTTTGATGGTGGAGATGTTCTCAAGGTGCTCATTAGCAGCTCAGAGCTGAGAACTCCCCCCCTTTAGAAGTAGCTAGTCAGCCGGCAGCTGTATTTTTTTTTCTTTACCTACTAGTCATGAATTTTACATGACTCTGCTGACTGCTTGAAAAGAGTGCCACTGCTGGACACATCTGAAAAGGCTGGATGTCACTCGTTTGAATAACCAGACCTGTTTAATAGACCCACCCACGCTTCAAGCAGGAACTACTACATTTAGAATACAATATTTTTATTAATTTTTTTTAATTCARTGAAGTCTCTAAATAAGTGGATTAGCCACTACAGTATCCAGTCAGTGAATGTGTACCATATGTACATCCTATTCTGACCTGTTTACTTCCCTTTCCCTGTCTTGTTTGAATATTTGCTTTGTCTGGGTTTTATTTGTTTAAAATTATGTTTGTGTGTGAGTGAGTGCGTGTGCGTGTTTGTGTGCATGTGCGTGTGTTGGGAGTTATTTGGTACAGATGCTATCACTGTTGCTGGATGTGATTAATGCAGCTGTCCAGCAGTGACGTCCGTAGAGCCACTCCTCAGACACACAGAAAGGACATGTGAGCGGAGGCAACGATTGAATCTGTTCGTGCTCTTTAATCTACAGGGAAATGACACGTTGCAAATCTGGATTTTACTCTAGTTGTGCTGCGTTTGCAAACAAGGATTTGACATTTTTATGAAATATTTAGAAATCAGTTTGGCAAGCAGTTTTTTTTTTTCTGTAACTTGTCAGAAAACCCCCTACAAACAGATCTGGAACTTTTTTTTTTCTTTGCCTTGTCACCGTTATTGATCAGAAACTGTGACGATGTAAGTAAAATGCACAACTTCACTCTAAACCTTGATCATAAAGATGACCAATCAATCGAGTGACTTGTTGTAGCCGGACAGGTCTGAACACCGACTGAAGGTCAGTCAGACAGGATGATCTGCGGTGGAAATGCAGTAGCTGCAGTGAGGTTGCACAATTTCAGTGGCCACACCTAGACAGCGTTGTGAGGCCTGATTTAACTAGTTCTAGCAAAAAAAAAAAATCTTGAGCGTACAGATAATGTTTTCTATTTAATGTCCAGTTTTTGCTGTATGAGATTTAAAAACAAGCTTCGTGCCTCTAAAGAGAACTAAATTTGTGGCCGAGTTGCCATGCTGTAGGTGTCTCACGTAGGGGGCAGGTGGTACGATGTGCTTGCATGTGCACATTTTCATAAAACGAGTATGTGTAAATGATAAGAGGGAAGTGAACCCTGACATACTGGAGCATGTGTAGGCTGAGTGCAGGGTTTCTGCCTGTAACTCCAACCAAGCCTCCTCCCTTCTCCACCTTGGTAAAGCATGGGATCGTGGAGTCTGAAATCAGATTTTTGTGGACGTTGGTGAATTTTAACAAGAGTCGATTTATTTAAGCTCTTGGGAAGAAAGGCTGTRCAGTATTCCTGTATACTGCAGTGTTCAARCATCCCAAATCCCCACTGTCTAAATTCTCTGGTCTTCTAACAACGTTCCTACTTTGTCCCAKATTATGTTGCATTTGCTTTATGGAGTGAGATTGTTATCAGGACTCAGTSTGGCATTTAAACCTTAAAACTGTATGTGCTGTTGCTGAATGCACACCTACTCTCTACACATTCCTCCCCAGAAATGGATGGTTTATTTACTGTAAGTATTCAATTTGCRCTTGTTTGAGTTGATTTAGATAAACGGGGCAATAACTTTTACAAGCAGTTTCCTGGAAATTTAACCCGAATTGTACAACTTTCTCTAAAAGGAGTGTCTTTGGTTTCGTTTTACACACTTTTCTATGAGTGGCCTAGTTAAATAACATGACTATCGCGTTTCGTTGTACTTGCACTCGTGTACATAAAAGTGAAATTAAAGCTGTCCGTGCGCGAGGAAAGAGAACTGCGTGACCGTCGTGTAGGCTTGGGTTGGGCTTCTGAGCTTTGGTTTGCAGACTTTTTTAACGAGGGCCTCATCGTGCGAGCGCTGTCTGAACCAAACTGAGCTAAAGCTGCGTGTTTTGAGGCTGAAGCAATGCGGTAGCTCGCTCAGCTCTGGGCTGGTCTCTGCAGAGCCGTGTGTGTGTGTGTGTGTGTGTGTGTAGCGGTGGGCCTCACTGCAGACCAGCAGGAATGTGGACCATATGTAAGAGGCATCCCAGGAATGTAACTCGGCCTCGCTGAACTGACCAACCTAAAGACTCAGTGAGACCGGAGCTGGGYGAGGAGAAGAAAATGAAAAATGCGCAAGGAAGATGATATCAAAGGGACAAACGGATCATACAGGAGGAAAAGGGAAGAAGGGGAATAAAAAGCTCAGTCAAAGGGTTGGAGCTCAAGGAAGAACATGGGAAGGTGGAGAAGAGGTAGGAAGGCATAACAATCATGTTGAAGGCAAACATGGCGTAAAGTGTGGGGAAATCACTGGTCAGTGTCATTGGAATACTGTGCTTACATACTTTATTTAAGATGGACTTGGCCTGCATATCAGACACTAGTATACTTGGATGAGTTTGGACTATGCTGAACTGAGGTTTGACCCTGAGATGACTGAGTATCAATAAGTAGGTTGACRGAGACCTAGTTACACAACTGTTGTAGCTTTTGTTTGAATTTAGGTTAATGAAATCTCTTTTTGTTATTTGCATGACTTTTCTAACATCTGACAGTGTTTTTGCATGCTTGATTGGTACACGGTCAGGTTTTTTTTTGTGGCAAGCCATATTATAAGTAATTGTCAGAAGTTTAATAACAATAACTTATTATAGTTACCAAGTTTAACTTGGTATTTTGCATAAGAACTAATGCCGGTTTTGCTGTAGAAACTGAGGAAAATACTTCAGCTTGTTGGTTTTTGTACACGTGTCAGTAATTACCATCTCGTCACGAGGCTTTGTATCCAATCAGCAGGACCTTCATTTCAGACTAAAAGTGACTGGGTATAATCTCCGAGGCACAGACTCTGTAAGCACCTGCACAATGACTGAAACGTCATGTGTATTTTTGTGAGCGTCCACCGCTTTGCATCGAATGATGATAGAGTAGAGCTGGGTTAATTCTATGTAGGGTGTCGGACCGCAGTGTTCTTCCAGCCCACTAACTCTGTCTTTATCTCATCTCTGTTAGCTTAGCACTCTGTGTTCTTGGGCCATCTGGGTACAGCAGGGGACACACTCACACACACACACAGATAACAGTCCTGCTCTCACATTTTCTTTTTGTTTGTCATGATCAAATCAGAAGCTTCACATTAATTATGATCTTACGCTTGAACATGCAAAGATTTGCAGATTAGCTGACCAGCAGCTGGAAACGAGTGATTGGACGTCGGACAAAATGGAAAAATTGTCCCTACAAAGGTGAAAGTTTAAGCTGACTTCTTGTGGTTAACTGTGGCAGCAGAGTCATTAGTTTTTAAGAAAGGGGTAAAAGGTGCAGCTTCTGAGTTTGTGTGTGTGTGTGTATGTATATATGAAAAAATAAAAAATTCCTGCACAGCTGTGGAAGATACTGACATTGTGATATTTTTTTTCGAATATTGTCCTCCTTACTAAAACTAAACCCTGTTTATATATAATTGATTTATTCACCCTGGAAGCCCCTTTGTGTTTCTGATGATGGGACATCATTAATGTCTCCCTGCTCAAGAGGGGCTGCAAAACTGAATATTGTAGATGGCTTTTGATTTTTAGCTAGAAGATAAGGTGCAAAATTAAGCAAACAAGCATGGAAAAGAATCTGGGCGGTAAAAGTCTGATTCTTGGACAGTTATTCAAAGTGCAGGTTTTACCTTGTAAATGTGGCCGTTCTTTAGTTCAATAATTTATGTCTTTCTGTTCCCTGGGAGGATGAAGGGACGACACTGTGGAGATTCTCTGGATTCGTACCATGTAAAGGCAGCTGCCACATCTTATTCATTTGCCCGACAGGCATTTCCTGTCTTTCAGCAGGCTAACTAAACTGCTAGTTTCAAGGGAATGGCGTCACGTATATACTGAGAGGAAGAAAAAGGATTCGTGGGGACCACAGAAGCATTAAACTGGAGCATGGGATGAGCGCACAACGGATACATGGGGAGAAACAATGCACTCTTTGACACACTTCTTCCCAGTGGTAGGAAGGGAGATGACAGCCGGAGGAAGTGCACAAATCTTGTCTTTATCTTGGTCCKCTTTATCCAGTGTTCACACCCTTGCTTCCAGGCCTCCATGTCTCTGTCTCCCTGTCTTTGCATTTCCAACCTCTTTAAGT